GCCGAACGGAACTGAAGCTCTGCTGAAGGCGGCTCGTAAGCCCTGCCGGCATTTGCATTTTGAAAAACACAGTCGTCGCTCACAGTGCAATTTGCTGTAGTCACTTTCTGAGCAATTAAACCACCTACGTCCTGCCAGGGCTCCTGCGGCTCCTGTGACGGTTCATGGCAGGGCGCTGAAATCTGTCGGTTTTAATCCCCCTGGCGAATGTTTAGGTTGTGTTTTCTTCTGGCGAAGGCGAGCGCTGATGCGAGCGGAGCGGAGCAGGGCGCCGGGACCTTTTTTTTTTCTCAAGGGCACAGCCTTCAAGCCTCCCAGACGGGTAATTCTTGTTTCTACGCCCACAGAAGGTGACGGTCCTGCTTGTGGGCCTATTGGTGCGTCTTCCCAGACATGGCGTGTTTGTTTTGTAGGTGGATGTCAGGAGCTGCATCGCTCTTTTTTTTATTTCTTTCCCTCAGTTAAAACCAGGATGAGTGCGAAGGTGGGGAAGCTCACTGTAGGCAGCGATTCTTCCTTGGCTGGGGCTGGGAGAGCTAAGGGGCTCCTTGACTTTGGATGTCTGAGTTCGTCCCATCCCTGGTTGGACCCATGGCATATTCCGTCCTGCAGCCCCCCAGGGCCTCCTGTGTGGGTGAAGAAAAAGCAGCATCACAGCGCAGCATCATCCCTTAACACCCGGATTTACAGCAGAAGTAGAACATTCCCATGAGGATGAGTAGATGCTGTCCCAGTAACGCCCTCGTTATGTTGCAAGAACCTGTCTGAAGACAGCCCTTGCCCCAGAGGCCAAGGTCTGAGATGGCCGGGCTGGAGGTGGAGACCAGGAGTTCGGGGCTGGCAGAGCTCCCTGGCTCCTGGTGTTGCCCGGGATCAGTCAGCACAGAAAAGGAGCAGCACCACACCGTTGCCTGATGCTGGGGAGGAATAAACCTGGTTCCAAAAACCGGTGGCCCTTGCTAGGCAGAAGGGGAAGTGGTGGCCATCAGGCACCACCGCTCCCTGTCCTCCTCCGTCTGATATTTGGCCTTTCCAGCTTTCGAGAGCCTGAACTGGGGTAGGGGATCTGCTTTTCTCAGCTCCCCTGGACTGGGTGCTTACAATTTCAGTTTTCCTTCCTGGCTCTCCAGAAAGCTGCTGTGCAAACGTGTTGTTTTACCTGCTGGTGGCCAAAGACGTTGGGCTTCGATACTCCCTTCTGCTCTGCAGCCGGCTGGAGCAGAGCGTGCCACCCAGTGCTGGGCTGCTCGGGGCGTTCTGGCTGGGGAGAGGGGGTCTCTGCCTGCAGGCTGGTGCGGTTTAAGCTCCCAAATCCTTTCTTTGCCTGCCAGGCACCTTGCTGGGGCATTGCTCCAGCTTCCCTGCTGCTGGAGCGTGTCAGTCTTCACTGCAGCAGATGAAGTCATTTCTGTGGCAGCTGTTAGGGCTGAGAGTTCTCTGCCTGCACCCTCAACTGCATGCATGTGCTATTTTATTTGTTCGATTTTTTTTTATTATTATTTGTTTGTTTTTTGCTAGACTTTGAATTTTTTTTTTTTCTTTTTGAGGGAGTTGGAGCTTTTTTGTTGCAGTTGAGAACTGTTGTAAATAGACTCTTGGGTGGGATTGGTGCTTCTAACATAAATACGTGTCCGTGTTGCTGGGGTTGTGCTGTGGCAGGGCTTTCTATGCCATTGCTGAAGGTCTTAGTTAATTAGATGATTAGTGTTCTGGTCAAGTATCTATCTGCAAATAAAAAATAGCAGTTGAATGTAGCTGCTAAAATACTGTTGCTGGAATCAGTCTGTGGCAGAGAGCAGGAGGGCTTCTTATTTAATTAAAATCAGGAACATGCTGTACTGTACTCTCCTAGGGTCAAGGAACAAAAGGGACGTACACATAATAAGTAGCGAACTGTCCTTTCAAACCCCTTGAGCTCAGCCCCGGGGAGCTGTGTTTAAAGGGACACTCGCAAGATAACATTTATGATTTCTTTTTTTTTTAATTTTATTTTTTTCTTTCCTCGTGCTGCTGCGTGGATTATTGAAGCTGAAAGTATGCTATGACTTTTCATTTTCTTCTTAACTGTTCTTCCTCTTGGATTTGAAGTTGTCATCGTGACGGCTTGGATGCCTGCTCAGCGGCTGGGTTGAGCTTGCTGGGGTCCTGTTCCGGGAGCCAGCCTGCAAGCAGCCCCAGTAAAAGGCTGGAGGCAGGTTGGAGCAGGAGCCAAGCTACCATCCCAGTGTGGTGCAGGACTGGGGGTTACTGGAAACCCTTTTGAAGGGGCGGATAGCACTGAGCTGTGTGGTCTGGCACCCAGTGCTTCAAAGGAGTACCTGTAGGGTTTATTCTGAGTGCCGGGGTTCGCTGCGTGCTGGAAAGCTGCCGCCAGCCTAACGAGCTCTTCGGTGTTTGTTTCTGCAGGACGTCGCGCTGTTGGAGTACCAGCATCATTCCAGGGATTTCGCTTCCCACCTCCCGCCGGGGTCGATCATGCAGCCGCAGCGCCGGAGGCCGTCCCTGCTCTCCGAGTTCCAGCCGGGCAACGAAAGGTACTGGCTCCCGAGCCGGCCATCGGCATCCCCGCTGCCTTACAGAGTAGCCTGCAGCGCTGTGACGCCGAGGAGGGCTCCGAGACCTGGGCAATGTTGTGTTATCACAGAATCACAGCGTGGTCGGGGTTGGCAGGGACCTCTGTGGGTCATCTAGTCCAACCCCCTGCCAAAGCAGGGTCACCCAGAGCAGGCTGCACAGGACCACGATTATGTATTGCTGCTGACCGTGCTTGGTCGCTGTGCCGGTCTTCGCTTCGTTGTGCTAATGCCAGTGGTGCCTTTGCCTTCTGGTTTCTTCCCTCGGACTGTCATGCATCTCAAAGACATCTTAAAAATACCCAACAGCGAAAAAACCCCACCCCTCTCGCTTCTGTGAAGCTACACGTCGCTGTGACTGGTCGCATCGGCTTTCTTCAACGTAGAAAATAAAGCTGTGTGGTCGGTGTTGGTCTGTGGCACCCGAGGCCAAAGGGAGGGGTGAGAAGAGCTCATTTCCACTGCGTGGCTGTGCTTCCTCTGCTGCTGCTCTTCCTCCCCGCTTTCATTGTTTTCGTTTCTCTTTCTGCCTTCCCCTCGCAACTTTCTCTGAGCTGCTTTTTTCCTGTTTGCTCTCCCCGTGTCGCCGACTGCTGTCGTAGCCTCCCGTGGGGGGCTGGCGGTGCTCGTGGGTGCACCTCGGGCAGGCGCCGTGGGGCTGGAGACGCTGGCGGTGCCTCACCCGCGGGGCTGAGCTGTGCTGCAGGCCGGCACCCTCGCTCTCCGCCGCGTCGCAAAGTGCTGCGCTCTCACAGTTTCTCTTCTGCATTTGATGCTTAGTGGTTTTGGAACACGCTGGCCTGGAAGTGAAAGAAGAGTCTTGCTGCAGCAGATTTATGCAAAGCATTTTTTTCAAATGCTTATTCCTTAGGCTAACAATAAAACCAGTGCAGAGTCAGAGAGATGAATCTGTCCCTCTAAAATCATAATTGTTAGGGGAGAGGAGGAAGACCTCAGGGTGTTGGATATGTAAGGGCATAGATGCAGGCAGGACCCTTTTTTTCTAGTGGGATGGGTTTGGCTTGGTGCTCAGCAGGACCAAACCCGTGAGAATTTGGAGGCAAAAAGCAGCCTCTGCCCTCCTGGACGTGCTCTGCTGGGTGGTGCCCGTGGCATCTGCGTGCACAGAGGGGTAATGTCGCTTCTGAGGACTAATAATTTATCGCTGCATGGTGCCTTGCCTTGGCTTACTTGGGTTTCTCAGTGCTTTTATTTCTTAGTGAAAGTAGCACGGTGAAGTTGGAAGTGGGTCAGATTCTGCTGAATTTGGGGGAGATGGGTAAAGGGGACCCGGCGCCGTGTTCATGCCTGGTTTTGTTTTCACACTGCTTACAGTTTGCAAAATGGAGAACCAGTTCTCTCCAGTAAAATGAAGGTTTCAAGGTCTGAATGTGCTATTTAAAAAAATGTCTCTCGGTTCTTCTGTATAATTAAAAAAGCCCAGCTGCAAGCCTTGGTGTCTGCTGTACCACACAGTGGTCATCCAGGCATCTCGCTTTGGCTTACGAGTGTTTCAGACTCTCCGAACTTATTTTTGTGTTGACAGTCACGTGAATGTGGGTGAATGTTAATGGAGGTTGCTGGATGTAGATACACATCCAAATGGTTATCATGGTTACTCCAGCACTTTCAACCTGCGTGGCGAAGGTTTGGCATGCTGTAAAAAGAAATTTGTTTTTTGTAAGAGGCCCAACTTACATTTTATCTCTTTTTCCTGTTAACATATGAAAAACTGAACTTTTTCAAAAATTATGCCGAGTAATAAAGCTAGAAATACCAAGGAAGTTCAGCTCAGTAGGCATCTGGTGCTAGAAAGCTGGGATTTAGACTCTTTAAAATGAAGTTTTTGGGCATCTGAGGATGCAGGATGGGGGGGTCTGCAGAAATTTTCAACCCAGATAATTAATTATTGCAGTCATTGACACTGGGTGGCGTTGGAGTGGGGCGGTGTTGGTCCTCTTTGCCAAGCCAGCTCCTCTTTCTCCACACCCTTAAGCACTGCGCTGAAAAATCTGTCTTATGGGAGCTTTGCTTTTTCATCTTTGTGGTGTGAGGATCTGCTGTGAAGCAGCCCCTGAGGTGTTGTACGTGGAGCCCTGTGGGTGTCTGGCTGCTCACGGGAGGGTTCCTCGGGTTCTCCAGGGCTGAGACGCTGGAGCTTCTGGAGCCGGTTGGGTTGGTCACTGATGTCGGGTCAGAAAAATCACTCTGGTGGGGAGCAAAGCCTGGGCAAGGGAGGGTGGTGGGCGCAGCCCCCCCTGCAGCTGGGTGCCTTTGGCAGGTTCACGCCAGGCGCATCTGTAAGCACTTTGGCTGTGTTCCTGGGCTGGGATTGATGGCTTTGAGCAGAGGCAGCTGGCTCTCAGCGTGAGGGGCTGGGGAGGAGGGAGCAACCAAAGGCAAGCAAATCACGTCCGCAGCGCGGGCGTGGGGATCAATAGAGGGAAGCACAGGGGTGTGCTGTGGCTGGATGGAAGACCCCCCCTTGGTTCCCTGCCTGATGCCCCTCCTGACATGCAGCGGCGGTGGGTGCGAGATGATCCTCCCCTCGAAGCAAGTGTTGGTGGACGGCAACCCTTCCCATGCCGCGTTGCCTCGGGCGTTCAGAGGGAGGGAGCGGCCTGGCTGCTGCTGGTTGTGGTGGCTGGTGGTCTTCCAGCATCACTCCCCTCCTTGAAGAAATCCGTTTGTGGGTCTGGCGCGAGTGGAATGTGGCGGACTGACAGCACCGGAGATCGAGCCCTGTTTGTGTTCCCAGGTGGACATCCCGGCCCTGCCATCGCCACGCCTCACGCTGATCCAGAGCAGTGCCTGCAGCTGCAGAGCGCAGTTCAGCCCCTCAGGCTGCTCGGCCCCGGTTCTTCTGAGCCCACCTGCCCTCCTCTCCTGGAAACCGCGGGGATTCACTTTTACTCTGTGCTGGTTTTGGGAGAGTTGTCCCTCATTCTGGCTTTGCCTTCACCTTGGGCAGATCTCCAAAGCCTCTGCAGGCTGTCTTTGCACATGGTGTGTGAAGCTTGACCCCGTGGATGCTTTAAATCCTGCAGAAATCACTTGGGCTTGCTTCGATGGTCTTCCTGCAGCTTTGAAGGTTGCCTGTCTCTCCTGCCTGCCGTCACCAGGGTGGTGGTTAGTTGTGGTTGAGTGGAAAGGGAAGGAGCGGTGAAGCGTTTCACCATGGGCAGGGTGTTTGGAGCGTGAATCGGGTGTTGGTGGCAACAAGCTGTTGAGTGGTAACTTGCTAGAAGGAATGGGGTATTGAGATGGTCCCACATTTTGGGGCTCCCTGAGCAAGAAGCTGGTTGAATGTCAGGCTCGGGCAGCTGGACGTCCCCACAGCTGAGCGTGGTGGGTCAGGGAGGATGGGGAGAACCAGTTCCTGAAGCGTCACACCATCGTGGGCTCTTCTCCCTCGGGGAGCATGTGCTTCCTGCATCTCCTGCTCCCCATCCCGGGCAGCCCACTTCTGCGGGAGGTGCTGGGGGCTGCAGACTGCCCTTCTCCAGGTACATCAGCCTCGAGAGTCATCCTCACGCCTTGGTGGGTGGGTAGAGACTTGAGCTCCCTGTGCAGCAGTTCTGGCTTGGAAGAAGGACGGAAAACTTGAACCACTCTGAATCTGTTGCGATAGGGAAAGTTGGCTCTGTCTGTCTTCGCAGGGGTGTGCTGCTTTCCTTGGTGGTTTTTTTGGTAGCAGGCTTTTTCTTGGAAGGATCCACAGCCTTCCCCTTAGCTCGTTCTGTTGGCTCTGCCAACTGGACTGCAGGAGCGAAGAGAAGTATTTCAGGATCTGCTGTTGGTACAAGTCGTACCATGAATGCTTGCAGAGGAATGTCCTGGCAAGGTGACAAGGATTAGGGTTTTTTTTCTCTTCTGTATATATTTTGGTCTGCAAAAGAAGTGAGAAAAACTGGGTTGAGTGTTAAATGGCAGGTGCCAGTGAGGTGAGGGGTCTGCAAAATCGAGGAACTGGATTTTTCTGACTTTTTATAAGCTTTTACGATTTTAGAGCAAGATTCCGTACTAACACAGGAATGCTGGGGTGGATAACGGCTTCTCTGGCAGAAAGCACGGCTGTAAATAAGCCGTACGCATGCTAACGCAGTGTATTCCGCCTTCATCCAGAAGAAGATGAGTCACTGTTTTCACGGGAGATGGCTTTCCCCGTTCAGGAGACCATTTCAGCTCCTTTCTCGGAGCCTTCCCTGCTTAGCAGTCGTGGGGAGTTTGAAGAGTTTGCCGGGTGCGGATCTGCGGCGTGACATTTAGGGTACGTCAAGCAGCTGCTGCGTTTGTGCAGCCACCCGAGGTGGCTCTGCGCAATACGGCGTGAGAGCAGGCCTCATTACTGTGCTTATTGGATGTGATTAATCCTGCTGGCTGAGGAGCCCGGGGAGCGGTGGGGAGCCGGGGCGGCGTGCGTGGCCGCTGGAAGTCACGGGCGGCTCTCCGTCTTCATCTGCGCTGGGCCAAATGGCACCGACTGCTCCCGAGTTAACGGCGCGACCGCTCTGGGTTTATTTATGGTCTTTAATTAAGTTTCCATTTTTAAAGGCGACCCTTTTCTCAGGAGTGAGCGGCGGTGCGGCTGAAATCCCTGCAACCATACGTCTTTGTGCCTTTTCACACTTGAAATGATGTTCTGGGAGCTGCGTTCTGGGAGCTGCGTTTTTTTTCCTCCCCGTAAATGAACGTGGGAAAATAACCTCTGGAAAGGGCAGATGCTGCTGTGTGGACACTTGGTGACAAGCCGTGTCTCCAGGTACCCTCTGCTCCGGTGTGGGCGTGTCCACGGGTGGGCACGGAGGGTGACCGAGGCTCCACAGAGGACACCAGGCTTCGTGGAATGGGCTGGTGTGCCCTGGCAGGGAGGTGTGAGGGGACACCTGGGCTTTGCCTTGGCGGGGATGGAGGCGTAGAAGTTCATGAAGCAACTTGCCTGTGTGTAATCTTGAACCAAA